GGTCAGCTTTGGCTCTGCCTCTTTCAGGCCTTTTCATCTTGGGCAGTTACCTCTCCAAGCCTTTTTTTCTCCTGTAAAATAAAGGTGATAGATCTGCCTTGAAAGGATATTGTGAGGGTGAAATAATTCTTTCAATATGCCTGTCATGCAGAAAGCACGATAAACAGTAATGCCTTTCTCCCTCACTCCTTCTACTGCTGCAGACCCAACCTCCCGTTTTCCTGAAGGCCAGAACCCTCCAGTGTAGTTTATAACACCCCAACCTGGTCACATCCACCTATTGCTGCTCTACCTGAGTGCTCTGGGACACCCCAGGCCAGAAGACTTCAGGGAGGAGGCCAAGGTGACCCAAGGAAGCATCTTGATGCTGAGGCTACAGAAGGCCCCAGAACATGCTGGTTTTTTGGGGTGTTTTGCCCAATTCTCATTTTGCACGGGTTTGAGTGACCTTGTGGTTAGAGCCCAGGGGTGAAAACAGTCAAACTTCATCAATCCAGACTCACTCGTCTGCAAAACCTCATATTTCTATATTTAATAAAATGTTTACACCAAAAATAATGGAACATCGGGATGACAATGGGTGTTAAGTTGTGGACTCCCCCCTCCTTTTTTACTCACCACAGGATCCAATTTAAACTCTGTTAATAAAGAGGAATTTATCTGTCACTTAAGTGAAAAGTCTGGCTTTAGGCACTACTGGATTCAGTACTCAAACACCACCACCACCAGGGCTGTTTCTCTTCCTCTCTTGGCTCTGCTTTCCACCGTGCTGGCGTCAGTCTGCGGCTTCACGCGGCAGCAAAGATGGCAGCAAGAGGAAAGCCACTCTCTTTCTCAGCAGCCCCAGCGAAAAGTCTCCTTGTCGAGTCTGATTGGTCACATGCTCATGCCGGAACCAATCACTGAGGCAGAGGGGAGGATGTGACTCACTGATTGGCTCCGGCCTGAGCCACTGCTTTACCGCCTAGAGTGTGGGGGGGGAGGGGCGGTCGGCTTTAGCGAGATCCAGCGACAGCGAAGAGAGGCTGGTTCCCCACAGAGGAGCAGGGGTAGGTACCAGGATAGAGAATGGACTGGGGGCGACAAGAACAACAGATGTCAAACACAGGAAATCAGTGGGTCCAAACCTCTGATAGGCCATGTGTTATGGGCCCATTTGGGACAGCCTGGACTTACCTTAAGAATGGTAAAACTACATCTTTAAACCGGTCTGCAAACCATACTTCCCAGGAATTCAGACTGACTTGGCCTCCTTCCTGCCCGCTAGCGGGCAGTTTGACTGAAATGAACAATGTTGCCAGGGCTGGAAAGGCCTGTCAGCACTACATGGCTGTTTTCACTGGGGCAGGGAGACTGACTCTAGTGGCCTCAGCCCTCTCCCCATCTGCTGTCACATGGTCAAAGCTCCACCTACCTTTGAATCTCCAATGATTCTCTCTCACCACTACCTCCCCTACACCATCACCACCTTCAAAACTCCTACCAATACCTGTTCTTAGGAAAGGCTTCATCATCAGTCATTTACACGTGTGTATGAATAAACATCAAATCAATAGTTTCATCTCTCTCAGAACCATTTGTATTTTAAGTCTGAGCCTTTTCAATAAAACTTTTAAAAGACTCTGTCCTGTCCACCGGACTTGACTCCCAAAACGTATTTTTGGTGACAGAGAGCAAAAGAGACTTCCTAAAATCAAGCAACAGATGTCCACACCTTCTCTGAAACCCCCACCCATCCACACTGGCTTGCCAGTGAATTTTTTCTGAAGTCTGACTTCAGTCACCTTTGCCGACATTTAGCCATTTCTCTCTACTATGGCAAGGAAGTTTCTTGCATACTTTCATTTATTCACTCGACAAACTTTTCCTGAGTATCTGCCGTATCTTAGATGCTCAGGTTTACTTAGTTACTAACATGATCTGGGCCCTGCCCTTAAGCATTGCAGTTGAGTTTTAGTGCAGGAAATGTCACCTTCACCATCAGATTTTTAATACAAGCAAAGTCTGGCCCAGTGGAATTCAGTTAATGCTGCTTCCCCTTCTCAGGGCTGTACTATGTGGGCACTGCAGTAGAACACTGGAAATTTTCTCAAAATCCTTTCCAGTGGATAAGAGTGCCAGCAGGAGTGGGTGGAGATGGTAGTTTCTATCTTATTTCAGAATGTCATGATTTGTTTTGGATGTTCCAAATGTCGGGTTGGAGATTCATGCACAGGAGAGGGGCTTATTCTAACCAGATCAGGGCTAGAGGCAGGCCAGGACACTGTCTCCATGGTGCATAGCCCCAGACAGTTTGGAAACAAACAGAAACCCATCTCATCCAGGGGAGAGAGACTGACAAAAGTAAAAACAAACAAAGGCCAAGAGATGGAAAACTCACGAGGTGGGGCAGGGTGGAGAGGAGGGGAGTGGAGGGAAAGACTGCTGGGGGCTGTGGAAGGGACCTAGTCCTGGGTTTTTTATGGGGAGCTGAATCCAGCCCCCACCCCATCCCCTACCAAGAATCACCATGGCAATGGGGAGGGTGAGTATGGCTGATTCCAAGCCAACACAAACCTCCTGGGCAGGAATGGGCTCAGATGCATGGGCCATGTTCTAAAGAGAAAGATCTGAATTGGGCTTTTAAAACCACAACCTCCCCACCCACCCCTGGTTTTGCAGGCAATCAGTGTATAATAAAATGAATTAATCAGAAACAATAGTGAACCACATCTCTCACACACACATGCACACTTATCCAAAAGCCCACAGGGTAAAATCCTTCCTTTTGCGGTGGAAGCTGACAGCTCATGAGATTCTTGGCACTTCCCAGCCTAGCCTGTCCACTTGCCACCTCCCAAAACTGTGCCCCTGACAGTGACACTAGTGACAGAAGGCTGATGGGGTTGCTTTGACAAGACCAAGGCAGCTGGGGCTCCAATGTGAGGTGGCTCCACCTGAACCACCATCTGGTCTCCTCTGCCATCAGCTGCCTGGTAAGCTCTTGGTCCACAGGGAGTTTGTCAGCAAGGAGACTAATGCTTCCTCCTCCGTGAAAGTGTCTGCAGCATGAACCACTGAGCTCTCAACCCCCAGAACCCAATTTTGCCCTTTCCTGAGCTGGTTGGCCTATGGGGTCTGCCTTAGATGTGGGATTGGTGCAAAATAGAACTAAGTCTTCAGGGTTTGTCTCCTTCCTGTCTCTCCATCCCCAGGTACCCAGGGATCTCACACTATCTCCTATAACCCCAGTCCAGGGCTGTCTCATCCACTCGGCAGAGTAGGCACAGGGCCTGAAGTCTTCATTACAAAAATCTTTTTCTTCCATTTAAGATTAGAAGGGGGAAAAATGAGCTTTTAAGTGGAAGAAAACATTTTGGTACATAATAGTAATGCATTCATATTTATACCAACACAGTCATAAAGTATAAAAGATAAAGTGCCCAGGGCTTGTGGAAGTCATAATATGGCCCTGTCCTAGTCTTCCCTCCTGTCCATGCCAACCCTCTAGGCTCCAGAGATTTCCTCCCCCCATATCAAAATGTACCTGTCCGATGGCCCCCACTGGCCAGGCAGCTCCTGGAAGACAGGACCGTTCTTCATCCGTCCTCAAGTCCCCCCCACTAAGCCCCGCACCTGCCCCACAGTCATATCAGGTATTGCATTGCCTCTTTCTTTGTGTGTGTGTGTGTGTGTGTAACCTCAGAAAAAGGGCATTGGGTTTTAAATAAATATTGCATGAGAACCCCTGGAAACTGCAGACAATATTTCACGCCTGTGCAGGTGGACTCTGCCTGCATCCCCTCCACTGAACTCTGCTGAAACTGCTCTGGCCAAGTTCACCAATGATCTCCAACTCAGTAAACCCAATAGACTCTTCTCAGGAACAATCCTGATTGCTTGGCAGTGTTTGACATTGCTCATCAAGCCTTTCCACGTCCTTTTTCGCTTCTGTGACACCTCACTGTTCGGCTGTCCCTGGAAGTTGCTGCTCGCTCTCTGCATGCTATTCTCCTCTGCTGGGCCATTAAAAGTAAGTAATAATGAGAATAATAATAGCAGCTGAAACATATCAGCTACTTGCTCTGTGCTGGGCTGTTTTAACTTTCAGTTCTCTTAATCCTCAAAATAACCCTAAATCCATTCTCCAACCACCAGCCAGAACGATTTTTCTGTGAACCAAATCTGATCACATCACTTCCTTGCTTGAAACCTAAGGGCTTTCCCCAGCCCACAGCTTTTAAGGTCTTTTATGATCTGGCCCCCGCCCACCTCTCCAGCCCCATTTCTCACCACAGCCTCTTCCTTCATGACCATCCTACTTTTAGCTTCTCCAGCAGGAACTCTAGGTCTTTGCGTGTGCCGTTTTCACTGCCTGAAACTCCCCTGCACCTCTTAGCCTCACACCGACTGCTCTTTCAGGTTTCAGTTCAACATCACCTTTCCTGGGACCCCCCAAGGGGCTGGACAGCATGGTAGTTATGAAAATGACCCTGAAACCAGTCTGCCAGGGTCACCTCCCAGCTCTGCCACTTCTAGCCTTGTAACCTTGGGCAAGCTATTCTCTGGGACTTGCCTTTCTTATCTGTTGTAAGGATTAAAGAAATCAGTACATGGAAGGTGCCTTGCAGTGCTACATGGTTTGCCTCCACATTTCCTGACCCCAGGCCATGTTAAGATTCCTTGCCAAGTATTTCCCCAAATTCCATTATAATACCACATAATGCCGCCTCACTCCTGGAGCATGTCTGTCCACCTGCCCACCTGGCTAGACTGTCAGCTCCGTGAGGGCAGGGGCATTTTGACCTGAGCCTGCTCCTATTTCTAGTGCCTGGCACACTGTAGGTGCTCATATTTGGTAAATCAGTGACTAGAAATCCAATGCCTACAGATATCCTGGAGATAAACACTGTCCAGCAAACAGCCACCTCAAACAAGGTAGGAAGAGAGGATGAGTTCTCACAGCAATGAATACACGGCGGTCTCATGCTGAGGCTGAAAGCAGTCACAAAGGCAACTTGGAAATTAGGAAAATACCTTTATTATTTTTGAAATGTTCCAATATTCAATGTAAAAACCACGATAGTGGCTTTTTCGCAACTTTACAAATTATAGAAATATGACTTTCCACCTTCTCTACAGAAATCTCCCCCCTAAATCAGACAGGGCTCCGTGAGGGCTGACACGGGGCAGGAAGGAGGGGCAGAGGATACAGCAGGTGGAACCGCCCTCTCTGGGCAGTCAGAGGCTTTTTCTGCACATTTAAAGCCCAGGCTGAGTCCCAGAGCCCTGTGACCCCTGTGAGGGAGGCTCAGGCCACACACATCTGTGGCACACTAAGGGAGGCCTCTATCTCAAAGGCCGGCCGCCCAGAGGAGAAGGCCTGCAGTGCGGCACTGTGGCCGACAGGCCGCGATCAAGGCAGCTTCGTGAGAACGAGAGCAGGAGGCAGGCCTGCAGCTCAAGTCCTTTTCTCTAAAATACGGCTAGGAAAGAGGCCATGGACATTGGCCAAATGGTGCTCTAGGTTTAGAAATTTCCCCTTTTACTCAGCTCGCAAAGACGAATTTGTCAAATAGCTATATATATATAAAAAAATCAGAAAACAAACATTTGGTTCCATTTCAGCTGTCATCAGCAGTTGGTAATTTTTAGAAAAAGACGACTTGAGTTGCTCATTGTTAAGTTCGTATTTTTTCTTCAGGTCTCTGACTCCTTCCTTTCTCATCCGTGATTGGGGTGGAGGGGTTACAGCTGCAGCAGAACGCTGTTTGTTGATTTGAGAAAACTGTGAGAAGTGTTTTGCACTCACATACAAAGCCTGAAGGAATTCAAAACGATCCCACCGATTTTTATGAGAAACATGACTGTTCCTCTTGGGTGTCTCAAGTCAAAACAAGGCAACCGCCTAGTGATTTATAGTCCCCACTACACATTTTCCGCCTTCCAGAAGGCATTAGAGAAAGGGCCAATGTCCGCCAGAAGCGATTGTAAACATCCCACTGACAGCTTGGACACTTTGTTTTTAAATGCAGCAGGACCTTCTCCTTTGGCCCTGGCAAAAAAAAAAAAAAAAAAAAAAAAAAAAAAAACCACCTCCCTAAGACTTGTTTAGGAAGGAGCAGACAGGATATCTCCCCCAAAACCTAAGAGTGAGGGGCCAGCAGCCCCTGTTGACCAGAGTGTGGCTGAGAGCATCATCAAAGGCAATTGATACATTTATGGCATGTGAACGTTGTCCTGTGGTCCCCAACCGGCCCCCAGGCTCAGCCTGGCTGGATGTGGGGCACGGGAGGTACGGGACGAGCTGTCCTAAGGCACGTGGTTGAGGTGGCCCCTACACCAGGCCCAGAAAGATTATCGCTTTGCACGATTCCAAAAGTGCTGGAAAGCTGAGGAGTTGATGACACTCACTATGAGCAGCAGCAGCAGATACAGGGATATCATGACCGTAAACCAATGGCTGGAAACCCAGGAGAGCTGGCTTGAAGCCCTGCTTCAGGAGGAAGAAAGAATGATGTTGGTACAGAGAGAAAAACATTTTTTTAAGTGTATGCAACAACTCCTGGCTCAGAGGAGATGAAATGATGAATTTCATCCTCTGGGTGAGCCATGAAATGAAGCTTCATGCGTGCTCCTTTGCTCAAAAAGTCTGGGGCTATTTGCCCTGGTGCTGACACGCCTTTCACCAGAACATTTTTTAAATGTACAAAGACAGCTATGCAATGAGCTCATCCTGATCTTTTCTTTTATAGCCCCTCTTGTACCTTTTATAACCCATCTTTTCTTAAGCGAGGCTTTGGTATCCAGAAGAATGACCTCGTTAAGGGTGTCTGACCAGATGGCAGCAGATGGCAGGGTATTTAGCAGAAGGCTTTTCACTTTCAGACATGTACAGATACTGTTCTGCGCGAGGGAAATCCTCTCCGGCCCGCTGGGAGATGATCTAAGCTATCCAAGTGTGCACTGAAGAGACACTCCAGGAAGGAGTGGGAAAGGAATGGAATTTTCAAGTAGAAAAAGCCAGATGATTTCAGACCAAAGGATAATGTCCCCCAAACTCAGGAACCCTGTACAGATTTCCCAGATTTAAGAGAGGGAGGATTTTACTGGTTTATTAAATCCTGGAGCATGGAAACCACTGGTGTGTATGAGGAGGAGTCAAGAGAATTAAAAATAACCCACTCCTGTCTTACCTGCTCACCTGCTGCTCAGCCCCACGAGGAACTCTACCATCGACCTCAACAACGCAGCAAGATCCCAAAGTGACCCCCAAACCTGGAGAGCCCTGCTACAGCCTCCAGCACCACACTGCTGAGACGGGGTGGCAAATCCGCCACGGTCCTTAGGAGCTGAGGGGCCTCGTCTGCTGTTGGGCTCAACACACTCATTTTAGGGATAACAGTGAGGCATCTCAGGGCCAGAGAGGAGCAGGGGGAGGTCTGACAGCCACTGTGGGAAGTGACTGAGCTGGGCAGCACATAATCCCAGTCAGACCCAGACACTGCCCTGCCCCAAGTCAGTGGGTTTCAGAAACCTGGGCAACTGAGGGGCTTCACAGTTTGTGGCAACCAGTTTGGCCTCATTCAGTCCCTCAAGTTATTTGTGTTAACAAAGCTCTTCTTCATTAGAATATACAGTCTTCGGGCCAGGACCACACTTCATTCGACCTGTATTCATCACCTCATACCCCTCACATAGAGCAGAGAGCTTTATACACTTTGTACATGCTGACGTCTACGGCTGGGGGAGACGGGGTGCTGGTAACTAAGAGCCCAGCCTTCAGCCGTCCTCTTGGACCCACGTGGGGACCGTCCCTCTCACCTCTTGGGCTGCTTCTGTGCGTACACCAGCAGGTACTTGACTCGCAGGAGCTGGTTGTTGGTGACCACAAAGTACTTGGGAGGGATGTCGCCCCCTTCGCTGTGCTTGATTCTCGCTCTCCTGCGGTCTATCTCCTTGGAATCTGAAAAAGGAGAGAAAGCACAACTTTACAGGGGAAACACTCAATAATAAAAGCAGCAAAATATGAACAGGAACAGGTCAAGCCTCCTGGTCCTGAGGGTGGAGAAGCCCCATGTGTGTGTACTTGAAGCAGGACTGAAAAATAGGACAGAAAGGGGGAAGGGTATAGCTTAGTGGTAGAGCACATGCTTAGCATGCACGAGGTCCTGGGTTCCATCTCCAGTACCTCCTCCAAATATAAATAAAAAATAAGCCTAATACCTCCCCCTAAAAAAAAAAAGAAAAAACAGAAAGAGGGAAAAAGGAACAGGAAAATATAAGGGATACAAGAGAAAACACAAAACAAAACTGAGTGGGGAAAGCAGAGGCCATGACAAAAAAATAACATGAGACTGGAAACAGGACTTGGTCTGAAACGAGCCTTTTAGCAGGCATTTTAAATTAACCATCCTGGATTTGAGCTTCTTAGAACACTTATCTCTCACTCTTTGTACCAAGACTTGTTTAAAAAAACAAAACCTTTTCTTTTAATAACATGAGCTTTACCGAAAAGAACCAAAAACAACAACAAAAAACCACAAGAGGCCAAAGCTGCATGACAGCAGACGCTGGGAGGTTTTGTCCCGATGTTTAATGTCACCCTGGAAGCAGACTTCCCAGGAATTATAAATGTGAACGTTCACGCGCTCTGGTTTGGGAGAGTGGCGTCAGACCTGGGCCCGATCCTCGGGATTCCAGTTGTTTTACATTAGCGCCAGGAACAGACGGTTTTCTCAATTCTCCTTTTCTCAGTGCAACCCACAGGCCAGCTCTGGGGACTAGAACCACAGTTCTGTGACTCTTCTGCCTCTGAGGGCTGAAGAGGGGGGCACACAGGGCGAAGACGTAAGGGACGTATCCAGGGAGTGGACTGAGGCGGCCCACTCGTCATCCGCTCCCTGGAGAGCCCGGGATTTACTCCCATGGCCTCAGATGCCCCTCACATCCTCCAGGGGCTCCAGCACACGGCAGACAGCCTGGAGGGACGGGGTGTGGACCCACATCTTTACCTTCAGTTTAGCAAATGTTTGTTGAATGTCTCTGTGCTGATACCAGGTGCCCAAGAATGAATGAGACCCAGTTTCTGTCTTCGAGGAACTTGTGCTCTGGCCTCACATACTCGTTTTCATCTCCTCCAGCCCAATGCTTTGTCAGAGCGCTTGGACCCACCGGGATTGCTCCTTCCTCTGAGCTGCCCCCGAGGACCTCATCAGCACCCTCACCCAGCCCTCCCTACTACCTTGTAGTAAGGGATGCCCTTTCCATTGTGTGTTCAGGCCCTAAGGAGACGACTTACTCCTTGAGTAACTTATGCCTTGTTCTATGTTGCTTTGGACGCAGCCCACCCATTGGTGTGCAACGCACGCTCCACCCAACAGCTGGGCCAAAGGCAAGAGCCTGATACCCAGAGGCCGGCAGCCCGGGTCTGGGCCAAATGCTCACTCACCCTTCTTCTTCGTTTGGCACTTGACGTCTGGATGGTCAATGACCTCGCACACGGCCACGCAGCTAAGGATGGGGCCGAGGAGGCTGCGCTGCCACCCGTGGCCATGGGGGCTATAAATGAGGGCCAGGCTCAAGTCACTGGTGAGGTAGGTCCCTTCCCCAAACAAGGATGTCTGGAACGGCAGAGGTCAACAGAAGAGAAAAAGGGCTGGGTGATCGCGGAGCTGGAGCAGCAAGACAACACAGGTCTTTCTTCAACAGAGTTGTTAACATAAAATCGTCAAGCCCCTTTTTTCCCCAGCAAAAGGCATAACGTCAAATAATGACATGACATCATCACAGGGTTATTACAGAACACATTCCAAGCTGACAGCAGTTAACTGATAGGGATGTGGCTGACTAACCTGGCAAACTAGTAGTTCCAGCGGTCAAGGCTGAGAAAGGAAAACATAGGTATGAGTCCAAGTTTGAATCGTGCCTATGCCTCTGACAAGCTAGCCAGCTGTATAAACTCTTGGGGTCTCGGTTTCTGTATCTACAAGTGGTGATAACAAGGTCGTGGGTGAGGGTCCGGTGAGGTGACGCACACAAAGCACTATGCAGAACGCCTGGCACGTGACACAGCGGGCACTCCATTACCGGCTCTCATGTCACAGCCCGGCAGTAATTCCTGCTGCATGAATGTGTTAAGCATGGTGACACAGACGGGCTTGCAGAAGCAAAGTTATGCCCTTATGTACAGGGAGGGGTCACATCTGAGTGGGGAAAGTCATCTGAGTCACTACTTGGAAAAGAAACAAAGCTCTCAGACAGAAACTGGAACCAAATAAGGCAGGTCTACATGAGGGGCAGGGTAAGTTGCACTCTTTGTGTTGGTGTTGACCAAGCAAATGTCCAAAATTCTAGGAGGCAGGTCCCTGGTGGTAGGCGCTAACTTGGTGTCCTCCACAAGGAAGCATGCCAGGCGAGAGAATCTCAGGTAAAATAGCTGCACACTGAGGCTACAGTGGGCACAGTAAACACACGCTTTGCCCATGGCAGACATCAACAGTCAACTGTGATGCCGACATAAAAATGTCAATCGTGGCACTTACTCATACTGACTCAGAATCCTCAACACGACACACTAGGTAGCTACTACCAGTGGGTGGAATTTGACACGAGTTGAAATTCAATTGTTATCCTTGGGCCACAGTGTCAGTATCTTAAGACGATGAATGGACTCAAAAAGCTCACTGAACATTCTCCACTTGGGAACTGAGAAATGTCCTAATCAGTGGCACCAGGCTTCCCCAATTCTAAGCTGGGTCAGTGAAGCTTAGGGGAAATGAGATAAGCTTTGGCTTGGCCTTTTTACACAGTGTCCCCATGTCTCAAAAACTGACACAGGTCTTTTCCAAGCACACTGGATGTCCTCTCATCTGACCCCACGTCCATTCTCTGCTGATGCCTGCCATGTATACACCGTTCCCTAGACTCAAGAGCCTTAAGCAGTGGAGGACCACAGCAAGAAACTTGGCGTTATCTCTAAACGAACACAATCTCATAGCTTCAACTGAGGCAGGGAGGCTCCCTCAAGTAAAGCCCCTCACTGAAAACCCAGTCAGAGGCCAGAAGAGCATCCACGTCTCCAAAGGACTCGGGTGAGATGCTTCTAAGCAGCAAACTCCCTCGGGCACTGAAGTGAAGGTCTGGTGACAAGGCTGTCATCCGCAGGCAACTTCTCCAGGCCGGCTCTGGGGTAAAGCAGAGGCCCCCTGGATTCCAGTAGCCTGGCCGTAATAAAAAGCTGAGAGCCAGTGTAAACAAGCCCGTCATCCTCAGCAAAACCCAACTGTGCTAATTAGCTGTAGTCGTGTCGGAAAAGTCTCTCTGGCCTCGGGCTACATCAGCCACACTGGGTCCACGGTTGGTGGAGCCAGCCCCACAGACGAGGCAGAGGCTGGCACCGCTGGTTCCCTCTCCATCCTCTAAAAGCAGCCACTGCTTCCTCGGTACTTAAGTACAGGAAGAGCCTTCTGCATACATGAATGGTTTCAGTCCTCTCAGGACACCAGAAGGTGGGAAACAGTGTCCCGTTTTACAGATGAGGACACTGGCTCTGGGAGATTAAGTAAATTTGCCAAGGATGGCAGAGCTGCAAAGGTAGTCTTTTTGGCTCATCTGTACTCCTCTACCTACGCTTCACTGAGGGGCAAAATAAATGCCTGCAAAGGATGGGTGGTTGACACTGTTTTGGCTCCTAAAAAAGGGAGGAAAGGAGCTCAAGGAGGGAGGAAAAGGACCTCTCCTTGGCACATCCCTCAATTTCTCCAGGGGCCGACTCTGTTGGACTGCCCCCTAGGCAAGTGCTTCTCAAACTTCAACATGCACATAAATCACCCGGGAGCTTGTTAAAGTGTGATTTCTGATCCAGTGGTCTGGCGTGGGCCTGAGATGCCACAGGTCCAACAAGCTCCCAGGGATGCAGATGCCACTGGTCCAGGGACCATGCTGAGGAGCACGGGCTGGCCACTCATTAGGATCACCTGGTGACCTCTGACAGCATACTGATGCCTGGGCCCCATTCGCAGAGATTCTGATGTAATCAGTCAGGGACGCAGCCAGGCATTGGGATTTTTAATAGCTCCCCAAGTGACTCTAAACGTGTGGCCAAGGCTGGGAACCATCTTTAAACTGATGCTTCCCAAACGGTAATCAGTATAGGAATCACCTGGAGATCTTGTTAAACTGCAGGTTCTGATTCAGAAGGTCCAGGTGGGCCCAGGATTCTGCATTTTTACAGGCTCTCAGGCAATGCTGCTGCTGCTGGTCTGCAGACCACACTTTGAGCGGTGAGGCCTTGGCCAACCCACCCACCCCCACCCCACCAGCTCTGTGCCCCAGGTCGGCAGACTTGGGCCCCACCTTGTTCAGGTGGCAGTGCAGGCCATTGTGGATGATGGAATGGAAGTTTTCTAGGCGGCTCCCGTGGAAGGCGTAGATTAGATCTCGTTCTCCTTTGGTCTCATAAAATTTGGCGTTGGCTGGGTCAGAGTACTCGATTTCAAACAGGAAGTCCGGTATGGGGACAGGCGTGTGAGGGGCACCAGTCAGCTTCTGGATCTTCTCAAACTTGAGAACATGCAGGAAGTCACAATTTTATTTGAGAAGCTGGTAAAATGTGCTGCCAAAATGGCCTCCTAAAGCCCTGGGCTTAACTCCTGTGGGTCCTGCTCATGAGGACAAACGGTTTCCTGGGAATAAAAACAACTTATAAACAAGCTCAGAGCTTATAACTCAACACTGCTTTTCCCTAATATTTTTCCCTCCAGTAGGCTAACTGAGAAGCGTGAATTGCTCCTTCTAACTAAAGATCACTTCTAATTTTCCTAACACTTTCACATCTATTTCCTGCATTCCATCTTGACAAAAATTTTGAGAGGTAGAAAGGTATGATAAATTACAAAAATGGCCAAAACTTTTTCCTCCCATTCCTGTCCACGCACCCCTCTGCAATGTGAATTTGCAAGTGGAATTCCACCAAGATTCTATCAAGAGATGGAATCTATTTCTCTACCCCTTAAATCCGGGCTTGGCCATGTGACTTCCTTTGGCTAATGGGACCTTGGTAAACACGGCAGAGACTTGAAAAGGGCTTGGCCTTCCTCGTCAGCTGCTGGGAGCCCTTCACAAGCCCTGCTAGCCTTCTACAGGATGACAGCCTCACAGGGGAAGGCCCCAACCACAGCAGCCATCCCAGATATGTAAGGGAGGCTACCCTGGATCAGCCCCAGGTGAGCCAGCCCCCCCCAGAGGAACCACCCACCCAACCTACAGAATCATGAGAAGCGATCAATATTGTTTTAAGCCAGTAGATTTGGGGGATGGTTTGTTATGGAGCAAAAGCTAACTGATACAGAAGGGTAAGCTCCTTCCTAAAAGGTAATAATCCTCTTCAGGGTAGAGAGCACACCATCTCCAAGACTTCCAAACAGTAAATCACAGACCAAAGCCAGTCTGTGGTAAAGTTTTCTCTGGGTTGTGATTAAATGACAAAAATAAGGGCAATTTTAACAAATACTTTTATATGGATGTAAGGATGCCATGAGCCCTTCTTTGAAAGAACTGTCCTTTAGTCGGAGGTCAGGACCATCCTCCTTTTTTTGTATTAAAACATAGGGAGGATTTTTGTCTTTAGCAGGAACTTATAACATCAAATGCTCTTAGATTAAAATTGATTAATTAAGTGAAGTTCAGTAGAGCCAAACCCCCTGCTGCTGCTTAGAGGAAAGAACACCAGATTAGGGATCTGCCGGTCCTACAGTCTGACCCTTGTCAGCCCAGCCTGTGCCTGGGAGACCCCAGCCAGGCAAGGGAAACCAAATCATGGAATGTCTGGCCTGTGCCAGAAACTGTACTGGGGGGATGACACATATTCTGTTACAGCTCCCTTCTGAGGTAACTGTCAATGTTCTCAACTTACAAGTGGGGAAAAGAAGACTCAATAACAACAGATAGGATTGGGATTTGAACCCAGAGTCTGAGGATTTCCACCCCTTCGGGTTCTGCCTCTCTGTTTCCTGACCGCTTGACGAGGTCAGTGTTTCTTAAGCTGTGGTCGAGGGTCCACCCTTACCAGAATTACCTGGGGTGCCTGTGATACCCAACATTCACTGAGCCCTTAGTCATTGTTCTAAGTAAGAAAATCTATTTAATGCTCTATTATTATCCCCATTTTACAGATGAGGAGACTGAGGTAATGATATGCACCCAGTAACCTGCTCAAGGTTGCACAGCTAGTACGAGGGAGAACACGGCTTTGCATCACGAGTGTGCAAGTTCCTGGACCCCACTCTAGACAGAGAATCAGAATCTCTGGGGATGAGGTCCAGGAATCCGCATTTCCAACAAGCTGCCCAGATCATTCCACTGCATAAAGATATTCCAGATCCCTTCAGTGCTCAGACTCTGTGATCCTAAAGACCAAAAAGTCTCACCTTTGACTTCCCTGCACTGTGAATTGTCAGGACCTTTGAGGATAAAATCCAGCTCACCAGGTCCCAGGCCCATTTGTCCTTGTCTCCGGAGGACTGAAGAAGTTCGTTCAGGTTGGGTAACTTGCTAGCATCTGCAAGCTGGAGTGAGGAAAAACCTCCATTAGCAAGGATCCTGGACAAAATGATAATAACCAGGTGCCCTCTAGTGGTGAGGCAGGCGACTTGCACTTCTTTCATGTTTCAGGGGATTTCTTAGGAGGGAAATTCACAGGTTTAGGATCCTTTTCCAATAATGCCCAGCTCCAAACGCTCTGAACACTGAAAGGCTGTTCTGTAACTGAATCGGTACAAAACCTGACCTGAACCGATGTGAGGTTCGTTGAATCTATTTATCCCACTTTGCGTTACTACTGATACATTTTGCTGCAGGAATGGAGCAGATGTTACCACATACCTGGTATATACACGTGTGAGCAAAGGGCTACCAAAGCCTTTTTCCTTCAGCATGAGTTAATTAACTTCTTGTTAGCCTGTTCCCTTGAGACCAGACAAAGATAATAAAGCAACTACCTACATAACCAGGCAACATTGCTTATGGTAAAGATGACCCAGAATGGTAAACTACATCTGGACTGGAAGAAACCGTTAGTGGGGGATCCAAGGTTTGGGGCTTCCGAGTGACTTTTTGTAAGGACCCTGGCAGCTAGATCTGTGGTGTTCTTACTAGAGGGACCTGCCTCTGTCCCTGGAATGTGGGGCTTCATTAGACCAGAGCAGTTCCTGCTCCATCCCATGTGAATCTCATCTTCTTACACCTGAGCTGTCACTATTAGGGGCAAAGACGAGCTCCTGGACCTCTTCGTGGACCACAGCAAGGACTTCGGCAGAAACAACACACCCTGCTGTGAGCTGTGAGCTGTGATCGTCCCAGAGCTTCCTGATTTCAGAGTCTGAATTTTGAAACACATTTGGTGCCGAGACTTCTGATAAGGGACTGGGTACCTGGACTAACAGATAGCTTACAAGGTATTTGTAGCTTCTGCTCAGAAATTAAAAGTGGCTAGAAATTAAATCTCTGCAGCATGGCATTTAAAACGCCACTGCAGACTGGTGCCATCTGTGAACATACCTCCTCCAAACTTGGCTCACTCTGGCCCCTGGCATGCTCCTTCCCCCACCTCTACCAAGCCAGGCAACCCCTGTCCTCCAAACCCCTAAAGCACTCAGCCCCAGTACCCTCTCCCCCGAGTGGACAGGACTCCTGGAGACCAAGGACTGTCTTGCGTTTTACAAACTCTCCTGTTTCCTGGATGTAGAGGAAAGAGCGGACAGATCTTGGTCTAAATCCCTGCTCCTTAGGCAAAGCACTAGACCTGGCTGAGCCTCGATCTCCTAACACGGGAACCCTACTATCTCCATGCAGGCTGTCGGGAAGATTAGAGAAGGTAACAGAATCACAGGGCCTGGTCTATACACTGCATGTCTATTTCTTTTCTTCTTACTTGTATTTCTCCCTGGCCAAGACACACCTTTGCTAGGGATGTAGTTGGTACCTCATGAATACCAGTGGTTCTTTTCCACGTTGCTAGAAATTTCACTGTTGCCAACCGTGGGGATGGAAAGGGGCTTTATTTCTTAACCCTGTAACTGAAAGTCAGAAATATCTCAGGGCTGCTTTATTCCTGTCTGTATTTTCCAAGACTCAGCCAATAGCCTCAGACTTCTGATAATACTATCTCTATATGCCTTGTGGGCCATCAGGGAGGATCCCATTAAAAAACAGGGGTGTGTAGATGCTCCACGTGTGTTGGTGCTACACAGTGGGGAGGCAGAAAGGTAAATAATTATGACTTAAAACTACTCGTTGTTGTAACAATGATGGATACAAACTACTAAGGGGACCAGGCGGGACACCTGTTGCGTAGGGGCTGGGAGAAAAGGGGGTGGTCGGGACAGGCTTTGCAGGGGAGGTGCCTGTGACCAGGCTTGACGTGCAAGGGCACAGAAGTGCAGCATGTAGACAGGGACGTGGATGGATGGCGAGGTGGTTAACTGTGTGGGCTCTCCTTCCAGGGGGCCCAGGTCCACCCCTTACTAGCTGTGTGACCTGGCTGAGTTGACCTCTTGTGTCTCAGTTTCCTCAAACACATAATTGAGATAGTATCAGTAGCCACTTCATGGGCTCTCTGTGAAGATTAATCAAACTAAAGCAGTACAGGGGGGAGGGTATAGCTCAAGCAGTAGAGCGCATGCTTAGCATGCACAAGGTCCTGGGTTCAATCCCCAGTACTTCCTCTAAAAATTAATAAATGTAATTACCTCCTCTCCCCCCCTCCAAAAATGAAAGAATAAACAAAGTAGTCCAGAGCTTAGAGCACAGGAAGGTGTTAAGTTAGTGGGACTGCCATGATGGTTGTCGTCATTAACTGCAGACAGTTGGGTGTGGCTGGAGCCTAGAGTCTGGGGGAGGGGTTGCCAGGAGGAGCAGGAGCAAGAGGGTGATTTGGGATCAGCCTGTGAAGGGCCTTGTACCCTCTCGGGGACTCTGGCCTCTGTTCTATAGGAATCACGGAGCTGCTAACGGTACCTGGAGTTGCATTCCAAATGGTGTCCCCTCAGGTACCCCTCGGCCTCCCCTGACCCTCTTTTCTACTCCTGGTCCACACGTGTGATGCCAGGGCCAGAGCAGAGTTCTCTCTCCCATGACCACTGTTTCCATCACCGCTTTCCAATCCCACCTGTGAGCCACAGCCTTTGTCAACAGCCCAGACAGAGGCACAGGGAGCCCCACAAAGGGACCGCCAGCTAAGCCAGGCCCCTCTCAGGGCTTCCGTCTGTGAAAGTGGGAGAGAGCCCTCCCTACACTGAGCTGGGCCCAATCCTCACCTGAGCTCCCCTGGGGCCAGGCCTCTTCCAGGGCCCCCAGTGTGTCCTGCTGGGCTGCCCTCTTTGTCCTCACTTTTAACCCCTCCACTGACCTCCCCCGTGTCCCATTTCACTTTTCAAGCTACTCTGAAAAAATTAATCTGCTACAAAAAGTTGACAGGATTCTTCCTCTTATGACCAAAACCTTTCTGCATTTGAGCAGGGGTTTTTGAGGTCCAGGCACCCAAGCAGGGTTGCCAGATAAAATACAGTCTGCTCAGTTATATTGGAGTTTCAAAAAAAATTTTTGAATTTCAGATAAACAACAATTTTTTTAAGATAAATATAACCCATGCAATATTTAGGGCATACTTGTACTAAAGCAATTATCTGTTGCTTCTCTGAAACTGAAATTTTAAGTAGGTGGCCTATATTTTTTATCTGCTTATCTAGCAACCCTCCCCTTAACAAGGCCCTTCAGAATCTTGTCTAGCGTCGGCCTAACAGCACCTCTGGCTACAACTTCCCACCTGCTCCACCACGTTGCTCCCCGCTGCACTACGTCTCTCCTCCACTGTGTTTCTGCAGCTGCCCAGCATAACATTCAGTCTGCAAGGCCATCTCCCCTCTCCCTGACCACACACGACCTCTGTGCTCCCCTGGTGCTCAGTGCAGAATCCTACACTGCTACTTGACTCTCTGGAGCCATCTCACATCTGCTTGGGACAAACACTCCCTGAGGGCCAACCACATCTTACTTATCCCAGAGCCCCGGAGGCCAGCCTGGAGTCTGGTATGAAGTTCGGAATGAGATAGTAACAGCCACTATTTGCTGAGGCCTTATGTGCCAGGCACTGGGCTAAATGCTGCACAAGCAGCGTCTCATCTTATCCTCACAACACCCTGTTTTAAAGGTGATCGTCAGAGAAATGCAAATCAAAACTACAATGAGATATCGCCTCACAGCTGTCAGAATGGCTAGCATCTACCTAGCTAGCTACCACTCCTGGGTATGTATCTGAAGAAAACAAAAACACTAACTCGAAAGGATACGTGCACCCCAATATTCATAGCAGCATTGTTTACAATAGCCAAGATATGGAAGCAACCTAGGTCCCATCAACAGATGAATGGATAAAGATGGGTGTGTACACACACACACACGTGCTGTGGAATACTACTCAGTCATAAAAAAGAATGAAATGTAGCCATTTGAAACAACATGGATGTACTTGGAGGATGAAATAAGTCAGACAGAGAAAGACAAATACTGTATGTTATCAATTAATCACCTGAAATGTATATAATATTGTAAATCAGTTATACCTCAATAAATTTTTTTAATTTCCAAATAAAAATAAAGATGGAGACACTGAGGCTTGGCGAGTTAAGTACCTTGCCTAGGGACACACAGCTATTCAGTGGCAGGGCAGGGACATGAAGCCAGGTGGTCTCTCCTCCCCTGTGCTCCAGAGTCCATTCTCTGTGATGCTCTCCTACCAAATCAGTGGAGAAATTTAGTAGTGGACTGTGTATTTTAACCCAAAAGAGCAATTCCAGGTGAACTTTAAGAGGCTGCTTGGGAAGCTTCGGGCATGTTTCCTGAATTACGCAAGCAGGGCAGCTACTGGCTGTGCCCAAGCCCTGTCAAAGGCAGGGAGAAAGATGGATGCCATGCGCAGTACGGAGCAGGGTCAGGAGACAGAAAGCTCTCCATCTAGACAAGACTTACGAGGCACAGTTCATGATAGTAGAGCGCATTTATCAACAGATTGAGGAGAAAGTGTTTAGGAAGAAGGCAGGCATTTCTGGGGGCTCGGGGGAAGGCAGAGGGAAGGGTTTACGGAAGCAAGGATGGGAGTGGGCCCTGAAGTGACGGGGGGAGTTTAAGAAGCAGAGAGAGAGAGCATTCCCAGTGGGAAGGAGTGCGCAAAGACGCAGTGAACAGTCCCAAAGGGTCATCCGGGGTCAAATGCTCCCAAGGCCAGAGAGGTGATGCAAATGAGTAAGAGGTTGTCTAGGAAAGAGTGGTGAAGACTCTGCTGAACTGGAGACCCCTGGCCTAGCAAAGGGCTCAGCCACCAACCCCTAGCTCCAGCTGCTTTCTGCCCAAGGGCAACCTCCACCCAGGCTGGGGAGCCTTTGTTTTTAAAAGAAATCAGCAAGCTGCATTTTTTTAAAAAAATTTCCCAATTTCTAAAAGATAAGAAGGCAAACAAAACCAGTCATCCCACAGGCCACACTTCATAGCCCCTGCTCTGAGCAGTAAGGAAGCATTCAGTTGCAGAAGTGGCCGTGGAGCCTGGGCAAGTTCTGAGTGGTGGGCAGTGCCAGGCAGTCACAGGGGTTCGAGAAAGGAAGTCTCAGGAAAGAGGTGGTTAGGGTGACTGAGAAGCCAAGGCCAGGGAACCAGCAGGGGGCAAGCAGAGGAGAGAGAGGGCCAATGACCTCAGAAGGAGACAATTCAATTTCCCTGCTTCGAATCAGCCCAGTGGAGACTTTGCAACCATCCAGATCACAATCTCCTGGGGCAGCAGCCCAAGAATCTCTGGTTAGGGAACTTGACACAGGTGATTCTTATCACCACGAAAAGGTGGGGATACTCAGGTTTAGATGTTAAGCAATGTTGTCCTAGAAGGGCTGGCAGCAGGAAAGAACATCCGAAAAAAATTCCTGCCTAGGAAGATGCCAGAGGTTATAATTACTAGCCGTGGGTGGAGGTGCTAGAAGGAAGTGATCCAAAGGCACAGCCAGGGTCTCCAACCTCTGGGACCTGATAGAGTGACACCTGGAACAGTGGGGTGGGCTGCTGAGACGATGGTGGGAAAGATGGATGGCACAGTTACACCGCTACATCCAGGTACACCTACCTTGCTTTGCACAAACCTAAGGTATGAAAATCCAGATTTACTAAAATAGAATGGGAGTGAGAGTCTACCTTATAAGAGTCCTCTACATAAAAAGAGTCACCATGGGGACCCTCTAAAGGGGTGGTTCTCCACCCTGACTACACACCAGCATCACCTGGGAGCTGGAGGGTGGTCGGTCTACCACCAGCACATATACTGATTGGCTGATGGTGATGGAGATGGTAACTGCTGAGTTGTTAGGGAGATTAACTGAGTTACATGTGAAAAAAAAAAGCTCAGAATAGGCAAGTACTAAGTACCACTGCTATTGTGCAAGTGTAAGGCACTGTATTACTATTACTGTGATTCGGATCTCCCTCTCTACTGTGACCCAACCTGCTGAGGAAAGGCCGGCATTCCTGGGACAGCTGGGAAGGGAGGAAATGGCTT